TTTTTTATATAATTTATTGTGCTTTGAATTGATTGGGTTTAATGTATTATTTGATGATATGCAACAAAGTTAAATAATTTTAACATAACGCTTTAAAATTTCCAGATAACATTTTAGAATTTGGGAAATTAGTGTGATCAAAGATGCAAAGATGAGAATAATAGAAAAAAAAAAGTTTTTAAGGTAATTAGTTAAATTAAAAAAAAGGAAAATTAAATTTAGGGAAATGGCTATTAGAAATATATACAAGACACAAAATAAGCTGCTTAATGAAACATGTTGATAATAAAAGATTTAGAAGGATAAATAAAATATAAGTATATAAATGAATAGAATAAATGATAGGCAAAAAATTATGCATATAGATTAAATTAAGTAAATTGGAAATTATTAGGTTATTAGTGGGGTATTCTTAAACAAAATATACAAAAGAGCATGGGAATAAACAATTGGTATAATATATATATATATATATATATATTTAGTGAACAAAAATAATAAAAAAGAATATTATGTCAAGTATTAAAAATGGTAGAATTAGTCAAATAGTTATAATAAGATAGGTATGAGAATCAACCTTAGAAAATTGACTTTTAAAAATACCGTAATATTAACAATTGGTATAATATAAAAATGAACCGATGATGGGATGATTGGCCGGGATGCAAGGAGTCGCAATTTGGGACAAATTTTCCCTAAGTTTGGAATCCGAATTAAGGCTCTATCAGTACGATGGGAGAGTCTCGATTTTAAGATTTCAAAATTTTTTTAATTGAAACAAATAAAAATTATTACACAATAAATTAGTCAAACAAAATATAAATACAAAATATGGCATGTATAAGAGAATAGATGACATATATTTAAGTTGTCCAAAGATGAAAATGAAAATTGTGAAAATGGTAATACTTATGCCAATAAATAAATAGATAAATAACTAAAATATTCAATGATGGAAATTTCAAAATAATAAATATGTTTAAAACATAAAATTTAAATATCTAGTTCTATAAAATATATATAGTAATAAATTTATAAGTGTTATGAAAAGGGAATAGGGTAAATAATAAAAAGAGAAAAATGGAATCAAAATATATATAATTATGAAATAGGATATCTTGGTATAGATTTTGAGTGAAAAGATAGTTTATATGGTAAAGAAATTACACCCAAATAATATGAAAAAATATATAGTTCATAGTATATATAATTAAAAGGGAAACGTAGAAAAAGAAAGTTTAAAGGAATAGAAAGGAAGACATAGGTGAGCTTAAAAGGAAATAGCATGCATCATTATTGCATCGTACGAGTCATGGCATATAGATACTTTTGTTTACGAGCATAAATCTCGATGATGGGATTTTTTAGAAAATCTTGCGAAGGTGAGGTTTTCTCGAAAAGTTCTTTAGGTGAAGGGATATCTTCGAGTCCTATGGGAGGATTCGAAAAATATCTTTAATGAAAAGGTTTTTATTCGTAATAGGTTTACATTGAGGAAAACATAATTTTTTTGAAACACGTACGATAACCTTGAGGATGGGATTAGTTCATCAAATTTGCGAAAGAGAATTTCTCAAATAATTTCTTAAATGAGAGAATATTTTCGGATCCCACCAACATGATAGGTGAATCTGAAAAATATCCTTAATAAAAGGTTATTCATTCGACATTATTTGAATTTTATGCAATGCACTTCACGAATACCTCATGTTCATGTTATACCCATATAGTCAAATAAAAATATTTTAATAGAGGATAAAATAGATGAAAAATGATTAAGAAAACTTAATAAATTTAAAAATTAATTAAGGCTCCAATAGGATAATTTATAATTAAATAGTATTGTTCGTGAAATGGACATCACGAGGGTGCTAATTTTTCTTTGGGCGTAATCGTACTTTCTAACTCAATTTTAAAGATAGTAGATCAGTTTAACGT